GCGACTGCAGTGAGGACTCGGCCCAGCACACGCTGGCGGTCTGCCCCGCATGGGCGACGCAGCGCCGGGCCCTCACTGTCGGTCCAGAAGGCGATAACTACCTGGACCCCTCCCAAAATAGAAGCGCAAAGAGGGCACACCTTGTGGTTTTAGTCGGTTCGAGTCCGACACACCGCCCCGCCGAATAGAGAACCCCGGCGGGGTGACGGTCCGTGGGGATTTCCACACGCAAAAAAAAAAAAAAAAAGTGTACGCACCGAACTCGGCACACTCGGACGACGAGGTGGAGTATATGTACGATGTCATATCAAGGGCACTCCACTTCACAACTAAGACCCACTACAACGTTGTTATGGGTGACTTCAACACTAAAAAGTGAGAGTACAGAATTGTGGCGTATCACTAGTAGGATCCCATGGATTTGGAAGCAGGAATCATAGGGGGCAAATGCTTTTCAACTTCCTCAAACGGGAGGGGCTCTTTTTAATGAACTCTCTAATGAATAAAATTTTTAATGATTTCATCATGACGGACAGAAAGCACATATTCAAAGACGTCTTAGTAATCAATAGGTTTAATACCGGTAGTGATCACTGACTTGTCCGGGGCTCTCTGAATATCAACTTTAAGACTGAACGTGTCTGTTTGATGAAATCCAGACCAACTCTGCTCCTAGCCATGACAGGATCTGACACGTTCCAGTCAAAACTGGAAAACCGATTCGCAGCCGTGGAAACCACAACCGACGTAAACCAGAACCTCGAAAATGTGGTTCGGATCCTCAGAGAAGAAGGTACAAGATTCTGTGAAGCGTAAGGAAGTCGAAGCTTTGACTGTTACTATGTCGGCAAAGCGGACTCTAAACCGAGAGATTAGTTAGGTCGTACGACACGACCTCCGGTGCTCCAATACTTTTTCAATTGAAAGACCGATCGAGCAGAATCGGGGGTCAAAAGTGGTCTTACAATCTCTTGGAAGAAGCCACCTGACAAAGTTGACCACAGCAAGTGGAGAAGTCCGTTTGGAAGTGGAAAGTTTCTATGGACGGTTATCCCGGTTATTCCGAAAATAAGGACTCCAGAGCCACATTAACACGTCACTACACCGAGACCCTGCCAGAAGTTAGCATTGACGAAATCGAGATGGCTCTTGGACAGCTGAAAAATGGAAAAGCCCCTGGAGAGGACGGCGTTACAACAGAGCTGCTAAAGGCCGGGGGTAAACCCGTACTAAAGGGAGGTCCAAAAGCTCTTCAACGCTGTTCTGTTTGATGTCAGAACTCCGGAAGCATGGAGTAGGAGTGTGGTCGTCTTGTTCTTCAAAAAGGATGACAAGACCATGCTGAAGAACTATCCACCCATATCCCCTCTTAGCCACGTCTACAAGCTGTTTTCGAGTCATCAGTCAGTCTTGCGCGAAGACTCGACGAATTTCAACCACCGGAGCAAGCTGGGTTTTGGAGCGGATAATGCACCATAGACCACATCCACACAGTGCGGCAGATTATACAGAAGACCGAAGAATATAATCAGCCCCTGTGTCTAGCATTCGTGGACTATGAGAAAGCCTTTGACTCGATCGAGATCTGGTCTGTTCTGGAGTCCCTGCAGCGTTGCCAAGTAGATGGCGATACATCCAAGTGATGAAATGTCTCTACGAAGCCGCCACGATGTCCGTCCAAGTACAGAATCATCAAACAAGGCCCATACTGTTGCATCAAGGAGTGAGGCAAGTGGACGTTATTTGCCCGAAATTGTTCACAAATGCAATGGAGGACATGTTCAAGACGCTGCACTGGAAAGGGCGTGTCATCAATATCAATGGCGAATACATCTCTCACTTTCGATTCGCAGACGACATCGTCATCATGGTAGAGACGCTGCAGGACCTACAGCAGATGCTGATGCGTTTGGGAAGCCACGCCGAGTCTTCTCATCATCGATCCCACAGTGCCTTAAGACGAAAGTCTTCAATAAGTGTGTCCTACTTGTCATGTCATACCGAGCCGAAACGTGGACATAAGTTCAAAGTCGCGCAACGTGCTATGGAATTCGCATCAGGAATGAGGTGATCCGACAGAGAACCAAGGTCACCGACATAGCCTACCGGCTGAAGTGGCATTGGGCTGGCCATATTAGCCGCAGAACCGACAACCATTTGGGGGAAACGAGTAAGGTACGAGTCGAACTCTTGCGCCGAGGGTTCCGCACCTAACAAGGTCTTACGTAGATTTTTGCGAAAATTTGTAAGCCTAAAAAGCCTGTAAAATTTGTACCAAAATTTATCTTAATTTTCAACTTTTTTGTTTTTTTGAATTATTCCTTTATTTGTGCTGTAAGACGTTTCTTTTTGCCAAATTTCGTGATTCTAGGTCAACGGGAACTACCATATAGGTTTTCGTCCCAAAACCTATAGGATACTTCCGGTTGACCTAGAATTGTCAATTTTGGTTAAAAGCAAGGTCTTACCGCACAAGTAAAGAAAAAATTCTGAAAAATAAAAAAAGTTGAAAATTAAGATAAATTTTGGTACTTACAAGTTTTCGCGAAAATTGAAATTTGCCCATATCTGTTTATCGTGTTGACTCAGGACCTTGATTTTTACACAACTAATAGGGAGCATAGACCTCAGTATCTGGTATAAATTTCAACTTGCTAGGTCTACCCTTTCGTGAGAAAATCGGTGGTGACGCGCGGACAGACGGACAGACAGACAGACGGACAAGAAAGTGATCTTATAAGGGTTCCTTTTTTACCTTTTGAGATACGGAACCCTAAAAACGGAGGTCATAACACGTTTTTTGGCAGCCAGTCACCGCACGCACCGGGCGCGCTTCAACTTATTTAGGCGATTAGTGTTCCGGGCGGTTTCGGTCTCACTGTGATCGGTATAGCGATCTAGTAATCGGTTCAACCGATCACAGGAGACATCAACCGGCACCGGCACCGCTCTGGATGTTTCTGAAAAGTTGTGAAGCAGCTGCTCCGCTAATTTGTACTGGACGCGGAACTGCCGGTGCGTGAGTTTTTGGCCTTTACCAATGTTGGAACGGTAAATAATATACGAATTTAATATACTTGTATTTAATAATCTCCTAAATACTTTTATATACCACTTCATGCCACGTTTCCTCTCCAAAAGGTAGCCGGATAATAGTTTATCCTTCAGATCAACACCGCCCATAAATTTATTGTAGTCGGCTACTACAGCCGGCTTCAATCAATTTTGCCCTGCTCAGCGGCCTTCAACGACATCGCTATTGTGATAGGTAGACACTGTGGCAAACAATTTCACATATTTCCATGCTGTCACAGAAACGTCACAACAGTGTCTACCTACCACCGTCCCGCAAGCCATATTCCGCTCGTTCAAGTTTCTGATATTGGCAGGGGTTTTCTGTCGCCCTCCGTAGGTAGCGGCATAACTCTACAGAGCTGTAGGAGTTGTCCATGACAATCGTGTACCCTCTCCAATGTAAGCCCAAAACAGCTTTATTTTATTTATTTTATTTTATTTATAACTTTTTGCACAAGTACATGCATCGGCGGACTTAATGCCTAAGGCATTCTCTGCCAGTCGACCGATTGGGCGGTGCTGAGAAAGAATGAGGTAGGTGCATTTATGATAGGGTATAAACGATAGTGGTTTTGATAAATACCAACTATCTTGGAATTTGGTGTATACGTCGTAATACCACACACATACACATACATATACATACTCATAAATATATACATACATACATACATACATACACATACATATATATATATATATACATACACATATATATATGAGAAAAATAAAAAAAAATAAAAAATTAAAAAAATTAGCCGATGAACTAGGAGCTCGTTGAATCTGCCATTTCGCTCAGCAATAGCTCTTTCACTTTCGTCTTAAAAGAGTACCGATTTGTAGCCATCCTGACTTCGTGAGGAAGCGCATTCCATAAGAGGACAGCCTGGACAAAGAACGAAGAGCCGACAAACCCAGTGGTGTGAGAAGGACAGAGTAGAAGAAGATTGTTGGCCGAACGAAGGTTTCTGTTGTGGTTGTTGCATAACAATTGAAATTGTGTTGTTAAATAAGTAGGAGGGGAAGGGGAATTGAGGATAGTGTACATAGTTGTGAGAGCGCGCATTTTCCTGCGTTGACGAATAGGTAACCATCTTAGTTGGGAACGAAAATCGGAGATATGGTCATACTTACGAAGATTAAAGATGAATCGAATGCAGTTATTGATGAGGCGATCTAGCTTGTTGAGAAGATCTGCATTCAGGTCATAATAGCACACGTCACCGTAGTCGATTAAAGGGAAGATAAGAGATTGCACGAGCGCTGTCTTAGTTTTCACGGGAAGAAAATTTTTCAGGCGATATAATGTTCTAAGAATGCCGGTAACCCTCTGGCATACGTATGTGACTTGATCGCGCCAGTTCAGGGTGCAGTCGAGTTGTAAGCCTAGGTCTTTCACCGATCGACAAACAGGTATAGTTATACCATTAAAAATTATTTTGGGGAGCGTCTCAAAATTGACTCACTTTATCACTACTTTGGTGGCGGCGCTGGTAAATCCACCAACCGGTTTTGATGAACTACTATCTCTGCCCGTATACAAAAAATAATTTAACACGTAGCCGGTTACAGCCTCGCAGAGTTCGTAACTCTTAATGCTGAATCGTGCTGCCTTGGAACGGATACATTATACCCAGCTCAATCTTCCCTTCCAAAGCAGCAACGATTCGTCAACCGAAAGTTCTCTCCGTGGGCTGTAAACGGTTTTAAATTTTTGTTTAAATAAATCACCAACGGTGAAATTTTTACACATTTCCGTTCGTCACCCCGGCCCAAAATAATGTCATTATCAATGAAGTGTAAGAACCGCATCATTAACATGAAGCCGTTCTTACTCATGGTCTTCCGGAATGCTGGCATTCCCAGGATTCCGGTAGACCAATACTCCCCAATTTGTCCACCGACACATAAAATGATCACAGCAATCAAACGGACGTCGCAACCCAGTCATTTAAACGTGATTGGGCGGAGATGCCAGTTTCGGACACTGATAGAGGAACAATGGTCTTCCAAGCGTAGAAGTTTGTCTGCTCACGAATCATATCCAAAAGAGGTTGGTCCCAAATTTGGGTAAATAGACGTAGGGGAGAGGTGTCTCCAATTCTGTGCTCAACCTCTTCTGAAAAATTATCTTGGAACTCGGAGTCCTCATCCTCTTCCTCTTGTAACAGATTGAGCAGCTCCTCGTTACCTTGCTCTTCCTCTTCTTCGCTCCCCGAGTCGACTGCGTAGGCTTCGGCCAGTGGGGTATCGAACTCATCGTCGGGATCCTGTAAAGGGTACAGAGTTACACACAGTTTCTTCCAGTCTTCTTTTGAGTGGTGGAGGAAATGTCTGAGTAGATTTGAAAAATTGAAGAAAAAAAACTTAATATCTGCACAGATGTTAAGTTTTTTTTCAAACTGAAAATATTAGTTGAGAATGTGAATAGAAACATTATGCATCATGCAGAGTAAATCCTGCATGATGCATTTTACATAGGCCGACGATGCAATAAAGCTGAGGTAATATGTACAACATGTTTTGTTGGTTTGTGTACGCTTTGACTTGTTGTATACGTGTTTGACACGATATATAACACGCTTCACAGGTGGTTTTTATCATTTTTTTCAACCTCAATGTGGCACACCACACCCGTTAAAAGCCTGACAAGGTACAGCTAGTTTAAAAGAAAAATAATTAAAAAAATAAATGAATATAAATCTATAGAATGTCACACTTTCTTACTTTTGATAATCCTCGTCCAAAAATTGGCTTAGAGCCTTGATCACCGGCGCTTCAATGGGTTCGATATCCTCCGTCACTTCCACATGGCGTGGTTGAAACGGCTGCAATAACAAATTTTGATTTTTGCAAAGGAATGCTTACCGAATGTCCAGGGGCTTAGGCATGAAAAGACTGTCGTGGGAGAGCCATGCTTCGGCACGAATGGGCCCGGCTCCACAGAAAACCGATGTTAAGCAATACTTTCGTTGCGTTTCACTGAGTGAATGAGGTTACCGGAGCCCAAATCCCCCCTCCCGGTGGCTCGAGGAGGAGGAACTTCAAGGGCGGCAACGCACTTGTGGCTATTGAGTTGCAGGTGTCCATGGGTGGCGGTAGTTGCTTACCATCAGGTGACCCGTCTGCTAGTTTACCTCCTTATAGCATAAAAAAAGAAAACGTAACCAACAAACAAACTGATAGTTACTTACGCATTTACAATATTAGTATGGAGAATGGATAAATACTCACGCGGATTCGGAGGCGGTTCGCTGCAGAAGCAGCTCCTCGTCCGCCACTATGAGGGACCCCTCTGGTGTCCTCTGGACCGCTCCTGATTATGCCACTGGGGCCTGTGTCCGAAGAATTCCCGGAAATAATTATTACTAAAAACAATTTAAATAACTGTAATAACTTAATAAAACTTAATAAATCTAAATAATTATTACTAAAAGTAATTTTTATTTATTTATTTACGAATTTATGCACTTGTATACGACGGCGGATTTAATGCCCTTTTTTTTTCCGTGCGGAAATCAACTCGGATACCACCTATCGGTGGCATGTCGGACTCGAACCGACTAAAACCGCACGCCGTCTCAGGTACTAATGGCCGGGGAACCAGGTATACCCTAGAAAGGAAGTCCCTGGTGCCCCGACATACCTCGGGCCATCTACAGACGAGTAGGCCCCCCTTGTTGGGAACCCCATGTTCCCTCTGCTCCCTGGAAGCGAGCGCGCTTCGCAACGCGCTCGCCGCCACCCCGGCCTGCTTCTGCTCGGTCAAAAGTTATTCGAGGTAAAAGTTGAATTCATTTTTTTTTCTCCTTTATGAGAACTATATCACCAATATTTGGTTCTTGAACTTTAGAGGACCACTTGCACCGGTGCATTAAGTTACATAAATACTTTGTTTTTTTTTTTTAATGGGACTAATCCCGCCCACACGCCCACCGCTGTAACTCCTGTACACCAGGATCCACAGCAGTGACCCACGAACACACCGAGATATGACACTCGGGAAGTCCCAGGAAGAAATTAAACTGTCTTGGAACCCGCAACGAAATTAATCAGAAGAAAATTGGAGGAGTTGGAAATACAGTAAATCCACTTCCCTCCTTAGCAAAGCGGGAGACAAAATGAAGTAAAATGGGCATACACCCTTTTAAACAGGGAAGCACCACGGCCACGAAATATTACGGGTCCTACGTGAGCTATAACATAAATACTCTTGTGACCAGCGCCTCCAAAACGATTGTAACATCCTCTGAACAAATTGCCAGCGAGTCAGAGAATGCACGTTGGAAGTTTCATAATTCCCACAGTCGGGTAATGCTATCAACGGTTCACCGATAATAAAATGTCCCGGGGTCAAAGGTACACACTCTCCTGGGTCACCCAGGCTTACGATACTCATTGGTCTAGAGTTGAGGCATGCTTCCACCTGTATTAACAGCGTTGAAAGCTCCTCGTAGGTTAGCGTGGCATCGCCTATAACTCGCCTAAGATGAGTCTTTGTAGACTTAACGCCGGCTTCCCATAATCCATCGAAATTCGGTGCATGGGGAGGGATGAAGTGCCAATCTGTGCTGTTTGCTCCAAATGTTCGGCAACTGAATTATAAATTAATGCTAGTTCCTTAGAGGCACCAACAAATGTGTTTCCGTTGTCACTATATAACCTAGCGCAGTGACCTCGTCTAGAAATAAAGCGTCTAAACGCCGCTAGGAACGCCTGTGTTGTCATGTCGCTTACGACTTCGAGGTGTAATGCGCGCGTGGACATGCACACAAATAAACAAATATAGCCCTTCAAAGAATGATGTCCACGGCCCTTTGTCGTCCTAATTTTTATTGGTAATCTACTCCACTATTATAGAACGGTCTTGTGGGAGTACAACGCACGGATGGGAGATCGTCCATTATTTGAGGTTTAATAGTGGCCCTTTGCTTGGCACATATGACACACCTCCGGATGTATTGCTTTACTAAATTTCGCACACTTATTATCCAATAACCTCTCCTCAAATAGTTAAGCATCAGCTGCAGTCCACCATGAAAAGTTTTATGGTGCGCGTCAGCAACTATCAGGTGAGTGAGGTGAGCGTTACTTGGTAGCACTATGGGATGCTTCATGGTCTGTTCTAATGTAGACTTGTCTATTCTACCTCGTACTCTAATCAAGCCATTCTCGTCTAGGTAAGGACTCAATGCCTTTAATTTACTTGACCGTTGTTCTAAGAATCCTTTATTCTGTATTTGTAAATATTCTTCTGTAATTTTTTTTTTTGTGTAACTCTAATGCAACATTCTAATGCTTTATTTATTTCCTTAACTTTTAAATATTTTGCCCTTTTTTATGCCTTCTTTTAGAAAACTACGACAGTATGCAATAACTCTAATAAGCCTTGGTAAAGAAGAAAATCTTGTGAATAGTTCTAAACTTTCTGATATGACCGCAACATGAGATTTAATAGACTGTTCTAAGTCTATGTCAAAATTATCTGGCCTACTATATTTTTTAATTGGATTATCTCTCAGGAAGGACGGTCCATTAAACCATAAAGAGTTTTCCAAGAATAAGCTTGGTAATACTCCCCTTGAAGCGCAGTCAGCGGGATTTTCGGTGGTTGATACGTGAAACCATTGAGAAGGCTTCATAGATTTCCGATGTCCGATTAGCAACAAATGTTTTCAATTTGCTTGGATGGCTATTAAACCAAGCTATAAAACGATATAAGAATCGGTCCAAGCCTTGGCATTATTTGTCGAGATCTTCATCACCTCTGCTGTTTCTATTAAAAGCTTCGAAAGCAGCACTGCTCCACATAGCTCCAAACGCGGGATGCTAATCTGCTTTATTGGAGCAACCCTGGTTTTAGCAACTAACAGAGCAACCTTGATCTTACCTGAAACGTCACCCTTCGTAAGTATACAACCGCCGAGTAAGCTGCCTTGGAAGCGTCACAAAAGCCGTGAAGTTCTAGTGCATCGCCAAAATTAGTGCCGAGCCAACGAGGTATCGTGACTTTAGTAAGTAGTGTCAATTCTTGGCGGTATATTATTTAATTTCTCATCCCAGCTAATGTCTGCTAGCCATAACTTCTATTCTTTATTTATTCTTCTTCTTTTCTTCTGTAGCATCCAGACATTAAATCTTCTGTAGTGTGTCTAAACACTAAAATTTTCATTTTCATTTTTATCCTAAAAATATTTGTTAAGTTCTTGTTATTGCTAAAAACCTATTTATATCCAATTAGTATGGTTAACAATCATAATATAAATTAACTTCATTCAAAATAAATTTTTGTTCTTGTATAAATAAATAAACCTCTTGCCTAGGGTGTACACTGTTTCGATAAATTACTGGAGGGTAGTCAGTAGTCGCGCGCTTGGGGAGTGCGATACGTAAGGAGAAATAATTAACAGCGGTTTATGTTTTTGTACAAAATATTCTTGTAAATAGATTGTTTACTCGTGAATATAAACTGTATACTTAGTGTTAGTGTTGTGAAGTGATAATAAACTGTAAAAGACTACTTCTTGGGGACTTTTACTGGCTGCTCATGAGATTCATCTACTACTACACACTAGAAGGTACGGTCCTGTATTATTCACTTCACATCCATATAGAAGCAATTAAATACTTTATCCACAGCATGCCGGTATTTATCGCCTTCATCATATGCAAGTTGATGAAGTGTTCTGATTGCCAAGTACGGTGCGGATGCAGTACCAAACGTAACTGTTAACAACTCATAATCTTTAATTTTCTTTTCAGGATTGTCTCGCCAAAGAATACGTTGGTACTTCGTGTCTTCGTCAGCTATTCTTTTCTGCCGATACATTTTTATAATATCGGCTAGAAGACCGATAGGGTGAACTCTCCATCACATCACTGTATGTCACAAATCAGCTTGTAGTGATGGACTAATCATTAAGGTATCATTTAACGAAATATCCTTTTTATACCTTTCAGATGCATTGAAAACAACCCATACCTTTGTCGTGGATTCGTTCCGTATTACGGTATGATGAGGTAATTAAGCTGCTATATCCTTTTTGTCATCATCATCTGTTACAGGATTCATGTGATCTAATTGCAAGTATTCATTAATTACTTTATGATACTGTTCCTTAAGCTCTTTGTTGTTCTCCAATCTTTTCTCTAAGGATTTAAATCTAATTTCAGCTATAGCGCGAGAATCTCTAAATGGGGGATCTTTGACGCTGAAAGGCAATCTAACTACGTACCTTCCATCCTTTTGTCTACAAGTAGTGGCACTATAAAAATCTTCACACTTTTGATCATCTGGGGTAAGTATCTTCTTATGACTAGTTAGTTCCTCAATCTCCCAGAAACGTTTAAGAAGATCGCCTTCTTTAATTTGTGCATGCATGACTGTTATGATTTGTGTTTGTGTTCTGAACTATTAACTGACCTATCCACTGAACCTGATAGTACCCACCCTAAGGTAGTTCTTTGTGCGATCAGAGTACCAGATGGACTGCGCATAATGCCTTCCTTCAAGATGCGGCTATAGACATCGGCGCCTAACAAGATGTCAATCTTGTTACATTGGTTGAACTGGGGATCGGCAAGCTCGAGAGTAGTTATATCAAACCATTCAAGCACACCTTTACTAGTACTCCTTTCGGGTAAGTAGGATGTGATTTTACTCAACGCATAAGCTGTTAGAGTTAATTTGAACTGAGGATCTATTCGCGACTGAATATTTAAATGTACCATGGATTTTGCCATGGTTGATCTATTACCTAATCCTGATACAACTCCTTGAATAGGAATTTTAGGCAGGCGTAAGTACCTATTGAACTGTGGCCTCGGTAATAAAACATGCTTGGGAGCCCTGATCAAGCAAAGCCCTAATCACCTGTAACTCACCCGTTTTTGACTCGGCATTTATTAGCACTGTGGCTAGTAAAACCTGTCGGGGAATTGTCGACATGGTGGAGGTTACATGATTAGTACTAACTGTAGAGTTAGCACTAACAGTAGATAAATTAACTGAAGGAACCTTATGTTCATTCGTCGTATCGATGCTTAGGTGTAGCAAAGAATGATGTCTTTTTTTTCAGTTTACATTTGGTTGACTTTTTACAATTGTATACGCAATGATTGCTACCCAAGCAATTGAAAAATTTTTTTTGTTTTGCTACGAATTCAAAGTTTGTTCAAAGTGCAAAAACAAAGTTTGTGAGGCTCGCTGCAGAATTCGCAACGCCTAGTATTTGAGTTCGTCGCTACCATGGCCCTGGGTACATGTGAACTTGTGACCTGATGAATCCTTTTTGGTTCGATACGTTCTAATGCACGAAAACGATTCTCCAAGAATGTGGCAAATTGTTCATAGGTAGATAGTTCGTTAGTGTCGATACTATTAGCATTTAGTAACCACTGCTTTCACAATATGGATGATGATAATGTCCCATGTTGATACGTCAACGTGTAAATTTTTAAGTGCGTCTGAGTGCACTTAAAAATTTCATCATTCATTAGTTGTATCTAGCAACTCCTTAATACCGGTGGCTGACTCAACCAACATACGCCTTTGATTAAAAAGTCTTTTTAGAATACAACTCGATATATATAATAATAATAATATTCTACCACATACACACAACGCCATCTAGTCCCAAACTAAGCAGAGCTTGTACTATGGGTACTAGACAACTGATATAAATACATATATACTTTTTTTTTTTGTAAATACATACATATTATACATAGAAACACCCAGACCAAATCAAACATCAAATGTTCATGCACACAAATGTTTGACTTGAGCGGGAATCGAACCCGCGACCTTTGGAATAGCAGTCCGTTACACAAACCACTACGCCATCGCCATTTCCAAGTTAGTCCAACACTGGGT